CCGCCTGTCTCACGGACCAGGCTCAAGAGGATGATGACGAAGAAGCTTCAGCCAAGGTAGGCACATAAATATATTTTTATGCTTTTCTATGCTGATGTCTGATTTATATCTTATCACTTTGACCACTAATTTCTTCCATTTATTTAATCTTGTCAATAAACATCCTTTTAATCAGGATTCAGATGACTATTTGAAAAGAACAAGGGGCATCACAAACAACACATTAAAATTCGATTACTGGCAGTCCAATTCTCATTTTTTCTCTATCTTATTAAATGAATGTGTTGGCCCTTTTCCTCATTATTCCTTGCATCATATCATACAGTTCAAGACTTGGAATCATCTTATGTCTTTTATTTGATGATCTCCTCTCCTTTTTTTCACCTTTTCAACCACTGATCTTAAGGAGGCTTCACAACCCGATGAGTGCAGTTGGTTAATTGACGTTCGTCGCGTTGAGCCTGGTCTTATTCGTTTGGACGCAGCCCTTGACATGATTCTCTCCGTTTTCGAGGCCTATGCTGGTCGGCGTAGCTGGCTTGGACGCCGTCTGGCTACTATCAGACTAAGATATAGTCAACTTAGAGTATATTTTGTATTATCTTCGTTTAGTTATTTTTGATTCTCTTTTTTTTCTTCCGCACTACTATCTGTACTTAAGTAAGTCGTTTATCCGTTCTAACAAAATCTCAATTCAGAATTGGAAATTTTTTCTACATATCCCGCTTTATTTCACCTCGAACATCATGATGAATTCTCTAAAGTCAGTATTGCCCATAGCTATGCTGTCGAACAAGTCTCCATTTTGAATATCGTTTATTAACTATAACAAGTCCCTTCATAAGTGCTATTGCTCTCAGTTTCATTCATACTCCAGTTAGATCACTCCACATTGTGGTTTTTATGTTAAACTAATAAGGCCATGTCTATTATCCTATTTGTTCTTTATGCGCATTCCTCCACGATGATTGCACTAAATATGTTTATTTAATAATAAACCATAAGGAAATTACCTGCAATCATTTAGGCGACCATAGCTTTGAATTGGATAATTGTATGTTGTTTTAAGGCAGTTTATTAAAAGCTTAGCATTCGTTTACTAGAAAGATGGGTGTGAAATTAATGGATGCACGACAAGGTGCTAATAATCGTTTGATAGCTAGATGAGCACTTTCATTAGAATGGACTTAGCTTTTGATCGACTAGTTTCGATGCCTTTTTAATCCTCAATGAAACCTTCGTTGAAATGTTCTCGGTTAATATTTTGAGGCATTTGGAGCACCCGACTACCTTTTGCATGAGAATTTTTCCCATTGAGCTGAGAAGGTGAGAAAATCGGGTTTGTTGGACAAAAAAGGATCGCGACCACAAAATGGATACACATTAAGCGTGATCAACATGGACTCCAGAAATAACGACTTGATTGCAGGTAGCAATCATTTTAAACAAAAAAACAAACTTATGATGTAGTAAAAACGAAATGTATTGTGTTCATGTGCTTAGGGAGCATGCTATAATTCGATGGTAACCATAAGATCAGTTTAATCTCTTGTACCGTTCCTTGTCGCAACCTTTTATCATTTGGGTGTATATCAACGTTATTGAGATATTTTTGTCTATCTTTTTTACTTTATCCACAAGTATAAATTACAGTCCAAGAAGACATTCGTCACAACCTTTTTTTGAATAAATTTTTTAGCAGTTGATTTGGTCTTATTTTTACAAAATTCTACTTCAAAGAAATAACTCCATACTGTGTCATCTACCAGCGCTCTCTATTATTTCAGCTTCGGACCATTGATTGGAAAATTTCAAATTATTTTTTCGACATTTTGGTTGGTATCATCAGTGAGTAGCGCAATCCTCAGCACTTAGCTACAATTCGTCAGTGGCAATGTCAATCTCCTTGATTGATTTTATGTTGATTATAGTTGAATTAATCTGCCTGGTATATTTTCTATTTTATTGCGCTGTATCCCCATACCCTCCCACTTAATATAACCACATCGAAAAAAACTGAAATCAGACGAAGTTCCTTACAATCTTGCCTTTCATATCTACGATTTAATTTTTAAAGGTCCTTATGACTCGTTGCACTCTTACTCTGACTGATATTTAGTCTTAAGGTACGTCTTAATGAACATTACGTATTAATGTATCTACTCTAACGATTAATTTACCCTCCTATCAAGCGTAATGAGGCTCATCTAATCTTCATTAAATTCCCTCTGACGATTAGCCTATACAGTTTTTGTCTAGTTCTCTCTTATTCCTTAAATATATGCTGCTTTTTCACTAATTAATTTTTTTTGTTATAAACTATAACCCAAAAAATACATTTGCATGATAAGAAATTGCTTTATAAAATGTTATTACCATTTAGTACTGTATTTTTTGTTTAAGAATCTTAGGTGTGTCATCGGTAGCATTTATGGTCACATTTGCCATTTGATCTATTGGCACATGGTCTTTGCGGGTGGGTAGTAACCTGCTAACTTTTTATGTGAATTACACGGCTTCGAATACTGGACTGCGGTCCATTATAAATAATAGAGTTTTATAGTGCACGACTAAATATAATTCTTTGACATGCTGGTTTCTTCATTTAATTTAGTTAACAACTTATTTAGCCTCTCAACATATTAATCGAGCTAAGGTGACTAATTCTTATACTATTAATTATATTTATAAAAAGAATCGACTTCTTGATAGCACGATATAATTCAGTTGAACAAGCATTTTTTTGGTAACTCTTATTTCTATTTACTCAGTTTCTCTTTTCGCTATCTTGATGCACTGCGATTGTTCTTTCGGATCTTTATTGTAACAAGTTCGTGTGTCTTATCATCTACTGGCCTTAATTGGAATTACTATCGAACTAATTTATGTAACTAGTGAACTTTATTCTATTGTTTGCATTTTATTATTATGCACATTTTTTCTTTTCTCTTTACCCCTGTAACTCCGCCTACTCTCATTCTTCGTTGCGTCTTCTTAGACCGAGTTCTTGGCAGAGCTAGAATCTTCCACCGAAGGCTCGTACGCTCTTTCGAGTAGTTCTATCCCTAATCTTTCTTTGCAAGATCCCTATGCTATTTGCCCGCTGATTGCTAAGGCTGTAATAGCATCGGCTAGCGGGCCTGGGACTAAGAAGAAGGTAAGCTCGTTGGTTCATATCTGAGGCCTATTTGAAATTATACTAGACTATCTCATAAGCTGACCAAATCGTTGGTTTTAGGTAAATATTGAGTAACTTTTTCCTGCTTTTCAGTCTATAAATCTGAAAACAGTAGATATGAAGACCAAGACATTGCGGCCTCTATTTTGGTCACAGTCTGCTTTCGATGTATGGAAGTGGTCTGACTTTGTTTTCGCAACTTGGTCGTATTGTCATGAAAATCAAGTTTGACGCACCTTGTCTGAAGTCCTTTGCTATGGTGGTTATGATAATTCCCAGCTTCGGACCCTGGACTTGGTACATTCCAAAGCGCTTAGCTGGCAACGTAGTCGGCATCTTTAATAAGTATTGCCATTCTTAGCATCAAGCTACAATTAGTCGGAGAAACGAGTGGAGTCAATTTTTAGCCAACCTCCTTGTTGAAAAAAATTAATGAACACAAGATTGGAAGAAAGCAGATTTGGCGATAACTTTACATATTGCCTAAGCACAATCGGACCAAACAAGGATACAGCAAGACTAGCAGAAGGGAGGTTCTTGGATTAAATTATTATCATTAATATGAATAGAAGATAATATAATGAAGAAATTAGTGCGGAAAATTCAAGGGAAGATACTTTTAGTTAATTTAGTCTGCTTGATAAAAGAATTACAAAGTTGGGGGCCTCGCAGTCGCAGGAATATGGAGAACTTTGGTATTATTACTAGTAGATTCGAGCCGAATCGAATAGAAATCCTCTTGAGATGCAGCAAAGTGCCAGAGATGGACTTTGATAGTTTGTTCAGGGTGCACGAGTTAAATTGCATAAATGACCCTTAGAAAAAATGCATTTAACCTGCAAGCATGAGACTAACAAACTAGGCTTTTTGCTCAGTGAGGTCGAAGTATACGTGCCATCAAAGGTTTGTGGAAGGAAATTGGTAGATCTGTCAGGACAGAAAAAGAGTGATAGCATAACCATTCTACAGAAAGTTAGTTGGTAAAGGGATTAATTTTACTTGTCTCTTTTACGAGTTGTTGCTTGATGCTTAGAATGACAAAAGTCACTTATGATGCCGTCGACGTCTGTAATACTAGTTGAACTGAATAATTAATTTGTTTCAATCTTTCAGTGCGATAATTTTTGCTTTTTCATTTATTCTATGCTTTTGCTTTCATCCTATTTTGTCCTCAAACCATTATTTATTTGTATTTTTCATTACTTACAGGCTGACCGGCGCGCCTTGGATCGTGGAGCTGAAGTCATTCGTTGCTTATGTGGCTTTCGTGTAGAGGGTGGCCATGTAATGGTTCAATGTGATCGATGCGCAGCTTGGCAACATTTACCTTGCCTCTGGTGGGCACTTTCACTCAAGGCTGTAAAATTGAGTGCAACGGAGTCCTTGCTTCGGCCCTCAGGTTAGCTAATCCTAGTATTATTTCTCAGTCTGTTCAGCTGCTTTCCATCTCCAAGATAGTTTTTAAGTTTATCAATCATGCTAAAGACTCTTTCTGTATCCCTTCCAGATTATCCTCTTTTAGTTCCAATATCTTTATCGGAGCCTCGATCGCTTTTTTTGCCTGAGATATTTGTGTAGATGGATTGTATGTCAAAACCTACCAGT